GTCATTCCCGAGGTGTTTGGTATTCTGGAAGAAGCTGGCCTTACCCAGCCTGGGGAGCCAGGAATCAATGCCCAACAGAATGGCAAATATGCATAATGAGGGATTCTCCCTGTAGGCTGTCCTCTGGCGGGAACCGGCAGCAAATCCTCTACTGTATCACCACCAAGCTATTTCTTTTCAGCTTTCTTCTGTGCAACCTTCCAACCTTACTATGAGTTTCTTCTTGGGGACCAAAACTGCTGTGTTCAAGAAAAGAGACTTTGTATAATTCCTTAGCATAAATGTTTAAAGAACTTAATTTTTTAAATCCTAGAGGTTCCTTATCTTAGGAAACAGAGACCTCTGATACTACCTGGCTGGGTTTGTTTTCTATCATTTGCTGCATAAACGAGCTTGAGTCTACTGTGTAATGGGGAAGCTTCTAGACTGTAAGAGCGCGGGGAATATGCTGTTCTTTTCTCCAGAAAACGTGGGCTTTGTTGATGTTTAGCACCACCGCTGGGGCCATCTGGCTTTGGGAACACTTTGGGCCCTGAAGAAATGTCTCCTTAAGGGTATTTTGAAGCCTTAGCTACACAGTTCTGCTCCCAAGGAGTCCCTACCGAGTGGTGGGCCAGTGTTTCCCACCTCACGTGGCACAGAAAGGCATGTTTTCCTTCGCAGGCTTACAAAGAGCTTCCAAAAAGATTAGAAGGGATAATCACCGTAAGGGGGAGCCTCAGTCTGTGCATTAAACAACTAGAATCCTGCCTCCTATTTCTTTTAGGTCATCATTTTCAGCTTTTTTTAAAAATTGAAGTATAATTGATTTACAATGTTATTTTAGTAGATTTTTCAGCTTTTAGGTAAAATTAGAAGTTTTTATAACCTCTGGAAAGAATCATCTCTTTCTATAAAAAGAAGTAAATTTGAGGTGGGAGGGTAGAGCCCAGTGGTAGAACACATGCTTAGCATGCACGAGGTCCTGGGTTCAATCCCCAGTACCTCCATTAAAAAATTAATAAATAGATAAACCTAATACCTCACCCCAAAAAAAAGATTTTTAAAAATATATTTTAAAAGAAGTGAATTTGAGCCTTTCCTACAAATTTTGCGCCAACTGAACTTTTGGTTTCCCTGGCAGTGGCCTAGAATCATACAGATGTAAAGATGAACAGCAGATAACACCTGCAGTGGGAAATCGGCACCAAATCTGTGAACACACAGAGGTTTCTACCTCTGCTCCCAAAGCCGGTATTTAATGTCTTGATTGGGGCTGCTGATCTAAATGGCCAAGCCCAGCTCCCTCCAGTGTAACTTTGTGAAATTTGGACACACTAGTGATCCACACATTTTGTTTGTTCCAGGCCTGCAGTCTGTTTTGTACTAAAACAGATTTAGGAAGAGACATGTAAACAAAAGCACAGCTATTAAGTCTCTTCCTTGCTCTTTCCTGCTGCAGGAGACCCTCTGGCATCTTGTGTTCATGCAGCACCTAAGAGGGAAAAGATGTTTCGGGGTGGAGCTGCAGTGTGCTGAGATTAGGGGGGGGGCCACCAATCTTACCCCAGCTCACACCCCAGGTAGACCTTTCTTCTGTGACTGTCATCAAGACCAGGCCTCCAAGGGGGCTGTGGGGACACAATTGATCTGTACTCCTAAAGCCATCAAACTGTGGTTGCTCAGATATTGTTTACCTTGGACCCACCCCCGGTGATTGCTGTGTTTGATATTTACTGAGCACTTTATAGTATCCTGGGAACTGAATAGAATATTCTTCCAACCTGGTTCCTTCTTCCAGGAGTGTAATAGCATTATGTCAGGTTCCTCACACACACACACACACACACACACACACACACGCTGTATAATCATATATTGGTAACTTTTCAAGGTATGTTTACTATTTATGTTTAGGGCCTTTGTCTCTTTTTAATGAGGGTCTTTTAAAGTCTTGCAGGTATCAGAGTATAGTAACATCCCAAGAGCAATTTCTAAAAAGCTTTGGGAGGAAAGTTTTTTCTCCCCAAAAGGTGCTGGACACCTGGCCCGTCTGGGGCATAATGGCCAGCAGGGGCCGCCACTTCTGCTGCGTTGAGCTGGTTGGTTGAGGAGAAGTCCGGGCTGAGGCACCTGCTCAGGCTGTCTCTGGCTCAGCTTGTGTCCTGCGTCTCTGAGTCTGACAAGGACCCCAGCGAGGCTCCTATAGACTCCGTGAAGGCAGAAATCAGCGTATTTTCCTGCCACCCTTCATTTATTGATCCCTGGCCCTGCGGCAGGCCCTGTGGCAATGCCAGGAACACAGAGGAATGAGGTCATGAGCTTCAGGCCCCAGCATAGGGGTGGGAGGTGACAGTGAGCCGTGGCTGGGTCTCTTGGTAGTGGGCCAGCCAGCAGCCACACAAACCCCGACCGGGATGAGGTTCCCCATGTGTGTCCACAGGTGTCCACTTGTGTGGACACCTGTGCTCTCCCACCTCCCTTCCCTCACTTCATTCAGTCTCTTTCTCTTCCAAGCCCCTGAATCCTCCGGGTTCTAGGTTTTGTTTAAAGGGGAGCCGTGGGAGTTGTGTGGGTTATTCTGTTGGGACTAGGGAAGACATTTGAGGCTGTAAATTTAAAAAATCCAGGATGTTTATTAGGAGAACCAAAGAGCGTAAGTCTCCTGTCCTTACACACAGATACTTTAAGGAGGGAGTCACATTCATGTCGTCTGAATAAAGGAGAAAAAAAGTGAAGTGTGCCCTCCATGACTGGCTAGGCAAGATGTGTGACCAGGTGAAGCAGTGGTTCCCGTGAGCTGGCCACATCTTTGCTGTGCAGAGTCCTTTACTGCCTCAGTGGTCTGCCTTGCCTTATGCCGAAGGCTGTCCATAATCCACGATCTGGATAAACCTGATCCGTGTTTCTGTTTATAGGGGTCTTATGGCAGGCCTGTTAGTTTAGACTAGAACACTGATAATGATACATTTTGGGTTTTCCGAATCTATCAGAGCACAGGTTTAAGGCAGGGTGGGTCTGTGGGCGCTTGCTGGTTTCATTCAGCAGAGAGAGAAAGGGAGGAAAGAAGATCCTCACTGCATCCAAGCCAGGTCCCAGCTAGAGGCCAGAGTCTTCAGGAGGCTCATAGTCCCTGGACAGGAGGACAGGCTTCTGTGGCTAGTGGGGTAAGCACGAGGCAGGCTGCAGCGGGGCCGGCAGCCCTGCACGTGCTGGCGTGCTCAGCCCATCCAGACCCACGTTAGACAGAGGAGTAATGCCAGCGCTAGACGGGGCCTCAGAAGTCACGAGGCCCCCCTTTTACAGATGAGGAAACTGAGGCCCAGAGAGGGAAGGTGCTCACCCAGGGTCACCCAGCGAGTTGGTGGCAGACAGACCAAGAGAGCTCTCCTTCTGAGCGAAGGAAAGCAACAAGGGTGAACCCAGAGTGTGGGCTCCTTTTTCTTGGTTAGGTGGGCTTGAGATGCCGCTTAAAAGTCCTTTTCTTCTTTCGAGAGTGTGTTCCCTCTCAAACAGTTAATGCACTCTTGCTAACCTTTTGCCAACATTGCCTCTTCAAACCCAGAGGAGTGGAGAATTCCAGGCCAGCAGAGGAAAGCACCTGAGAGGCCCCTGGCCAGTGAGCTTAGCTCTCAGGTTCAGCCTGGACACGGCCGAGAAGCTTCTGGGGTCTCCGCGCTGCCTCTGGGGGAGAAGCATCATCCCATCTGCCAACTGCCTCCTCCACCAGGGGGCCCTCAGCCACACCAGGAGTCGGGACCAAAACCAGGGGAGGGTCTGGCCTTCCTGAAGCCCGCCTCCCCTGGATATCTCCAGACCGAGCCTGGGCGTGTCGAGGTTGTGCAGGGAAGTTTCCTCAGGGAGCCGGGGCACCACGGAGGTGAGGCCATGGGCCTGGGGACCCCAGGTCTGATCCACCAGCACGTGTCCAACATGCCGGGGGCTCCCATCCTTCCTGAAGGCCCCAGAGAGGCCACACACCAGCCTTCAGGGATAGAACTTGAGGACGCAGAGAGAAGCCGCCAGGGCTCTGAGCTGTTGGAGCACCAGCTTTTGGGAGACCTGCCCCAGGAGGAGCCACCTCTGAAGGAGGACCAGGGCAAAGAAAGGCTGGGGGGCAAGGAGGTGGATGAAGACCGAGACATCGATGAGTCCTCGCCCCAGGACTCCCCTCCCTCCCAGGTCTCCCCAGGTTGGCAGAGCCCCCCTGCCCAGGGCGGGCCACCCCCCCGGGCAGTTTCCAGGGAAACCACTGGCATTTCAGGTCTCCCAGCCCAGGGTGCCATCCCCCTCCCTGTCGATTTCCTCTCCAAAGTTTCCACAGAGACCCGGGTCTCAGAACCCGAAGGGCCCGGCGAGGGCCCCCCGGCGGAAGGTCATGACGGGCCCCCCGAGTTCACGTTCCACGTGGAAATCAAAGCCAGTGCACAGAAGGAACAGGGACGGTCAGAGGTGGATTTGGAAGGGGCTGCACTTCCCGGGGCCCCTGGAGAGGAGCAAGAGCCCCGGGGCCCCTCTGAGGGCGAGGACACAAAAAAGACCGAACTTCCAGAACCGTCTGAAAAGCAGCCTGCAGCTGGCCTGCCAGGAAAACCCGTCAGCCGGGTTCCTCAACTCAAAGGTCTGTGTCTTGAGCTTCTTCGCAGCTGCCCGGCGACCTCGTGTGCCACCCCAGCTGTGGGCACTGCCACTGAGCTTCCAGCCCCTCCTTGGCTCCAGCCGCTCCCAGGGACAGCCACTAAGCCGGCCGCCTGGGCCTCTGCTCACCCTCCTGGCCTCCTCCTGCCACTCAGGCTGTGGTAGCTCATGTCCCTCTCACGCTTGCCCACCGTTTTGCATGTCACCAACACCCCTGCCAGGTGCTTTCTGCCCTGATCACTTCTCTGCCACTTGATTTATCCATAAGGGTCCATTGGCCCACCAGGGGTTGGTGGGCTGCACGCTACAGACAGGATAGCAGGTGCTCCCACTTTTGAGGGCTTGTTAAGTGCCTTAAATTCATTGTCTGGAACCCTCCCAAGTGGGCATAATTAGCCCCACTTTGCAGAGGAGGAAACGGGGTTAGAGAGGTCAAGTACGTTGCTGAAGGTCATTGAATAGCAGGTGATGGAGCCAGGTTCAGAATCCAGGTAGGTCTGCTCTAAAAGGCACTTCCCTCTAACCACAGTGCCTTCCAGAAGTGTGCCCTCCTCGCTCAGAGACTCAGGGCACGTGCCGGTCTCCTGCTGCTCTGTCGGTGGACAGCACATCGCATGTAGCAGGCGACACACACAAGCATCTGGGGGTGGCCCAGAGCCGTGCTGAGCCTTTGGCCCAACAGCCCCCAACCCGCGCTGCCTGTGGCAGGAGAGGCTGTGAGCAGAAACAAAATCTTCCTTGTCAAAGAAAGTACCTCCTTCTCCATCTGCAGAGCCCAGGCAGTCCCTGTGCTGGGATTGCAGGGGTCTCAGTCCCACTCCGTCTTGAGCCCTGAAAACCAGGACCGCAGCCGCCCTTCGGGAGCTGGAGAAGTGGGAGGGGAGTTGCCCAAGTGTCGGGGTCTCTGGGTCCTGTTGGGGAGAAGACAGTTTATACCCCGGAGGAAGCCGCGTAGCCACAAGTTGCGTACATTCATAGGTTTAGGTCCTGTAGCATTTTAGAATTATTTGCGGGGCCCCAGAAATTAAAGCTACTTAACCTGTCAATTGCAGACATCTGTTAAGTGTTGATGAGATTCTGCTTGTCACAAAAACTTTGAAATATCACAGATAAAGGAATCTGTATTTAAAATTTAAGACAGGAAAAAAAATCCTATTTTAAAATATCCTAAAGTCCAAAATAATATGGGACAAATAATGGCGATGACAGATTATAACAATATTTCTTGAGTTTGTGTTTTATTGAATACTGGTCCACTGGATGTTGATAGGTGTGTCCAGGTTAAAAAGAGTTCCATGGTCCAATTAGTTTGGGAAAAAACAGGCTAAACAAAGTTAAACACAGTTTGCTGTGGCAGGACTTGTGAGAGCCTTTAACATTCAAATGTATATTATGACCCTCTGAGAAAGATTCATAGTACTCATTTCCCAGATTTATTTGATCCCACCTGCTAACATCTCCTGAAAGAGGGCTTGCTCAGTGATACCCAAATTGGGAAATGCTGATCTGTTGATGCTTTTTTTGTGTGACATAGATGATGCTGGGCATTTGGGCAAAGGATGTGAATCAGGTCCACCAAGGGCTTTTATTAAAGTGCAGATTCCTGGGCCCTGTCTTAGGCTTACAGTGTCTGGGTGATCCCGGGAATCTGCATTTTAGGGACCTCACCCAATGGTTCTGGTGTGTAGTAAAGTTTGAAGACCTCTGGGCTAGATCATCGGTGCTGGTCATTCGGAAATCTGGTCTCCAGTAGCCAGAGAGAAGCTCCAAGCAGCCCTGTTGTCTTCGGGGCAGGGGAATAGGATATTGAAACCAAAGACAAAAATTTATAATCAGTTTTCAATAATGAATGTCAGTCAAAGGGAGAGTGAATTAGAGGTGCTGCTGGTAGACAGGTGGATTGGTCTCACCAAGGGATGTGGCTTTCTAAACAAAAGCCATCAGTGTTTTGGTGCTAAAGTCCAGAGGTTGTCTATGGGATGTTTGCTGGTAGCCAGTTTGTAGCTAATTTGGGGAAATGGCAGGGATCAGCCCTTGGGAGGGCCTGTAGGTGGTGAGAAGACCTTCCAGGCTTGGGTCAGGGGTGGGATGGGCTCGTTGGACAGCCATCTGGGGCTGATCACCGAAGCCCCCATTAGTGATGGACAGGCTCTGGGTAAACAACCCATTCCCCCTGACCCTTGGGTGACAGTATGAGCAAGGGGTCCTGCCATGGGGGCTGGAGCCTGGCTGAGCTGCCCCATCCGTGGCCCCAGGGCTTCCAACTGCCCCTCTTTGGAGTGAGGTTGGCCCCAGCTGGGAGAGGCTGACCCCAGCAGAGAGCAGGGAGGGAGCCTGTGAGAGGTGGGTCTGCACCATCTCCTTCCCTGCCCGCCCTCTGTGCCCCCGTGTGCCCCCAAATAGTTTCTGCTACATCCCCTCTGCATGTCCCCGCCCTCAGCCAGCTTGCTGCCCCCTCTTGTCAGGGTGCTTTGAGCATTGTCCCCAGTGTGCTGTGTTGATACTAACAACCAGAGGCCTAACAGATTCAAGGGGAAAGAAAATCAACTGGGCTTCCACCTGCCCAACTGAGCAAAACATGTTGTACGGATCCCAAGAAATCAGCTTCACTACACCAGGTTTTTTCTGAGTTGCGCTAATGGGTGTAACATACACTCTCATCTTATATTTTATCAGCTCGCATGGTCAGTAAAGGCAAAGATGGAACTGGACCCGATGACAAAAAAACCAAGGTAAGCTGAGAAAGTCATGAAACCTCTCTGCCGCCAGCAAGTCGATCGAGATGCTGTGCTTTGTTTCTGAATTAATCTTTATATATAACGGTGGGGAGCGGTTGTCACGCAAGTGTCATTCAAAGTGCGTGGTGCTTCTATGCAAACTTTTAAAATTCCGGCATTTCTCTGCTGATACTTATGACTGGGAAGGACAGTCAGCAGATTAAGGAATTAATTAATGCTCCTACTTGCAGCCACGTAAGCATAGTCTAAATTAAGACGTTCATGGTGAATGAAGGTATGTTTGAATTTTCTGCAATAAAGTTTGAATTTTGTACATTTTATGCTTCCCACTACAGGTCTAGGCTCAGCATATGTATATACATGTACACACACACATGCTCACGGATCTGTTCAAGGTTTATCTTGAAAATACTATTTACTTAGGGGGCTGAGAGATGTTAGTAAAGCAGTGATCTGCCACCTGACGCAGAGGGTTCTGGAAAAGCCCTGGAAGAGAGGACCTGTGAGCAGGCCGTGAAGGGAGCATGAAGGGGGTGTTGAGAAAGGCCATTCTGGGGGGGGGTGGGGAGACAGCACAAGCAAAGTCCCTGGAGCCCGGGGAGACAAGCCGGTCCGGGAGCTCTGAGCCGATCGGCGTGGTTGCTGCCCAGCTTGGAGCAGGGCTGACCCGCACCCTACATGCCGAGTGGACCCCTGGGCCTTGGGCTGTAGATGCCGTCCTGAGTTCTGCCAGCCAGTCTTCAGAAACCCCACCAGGAACAGAAAACTGCTCACCACCAAAACTGCACCCAGGACACACCCGTCCCTTCCAGCTGTAGTTTACTCTCCTCAGTGGCTGTGCATCTTGGAAAAGTTCCCGTAACTGCACAGTAGTGATTTCCCTGGAAAATCTCACTGGGGCCCTAGATGAAGACCTGTTTTTCTTAAAGGTATTTAAAATGCCCCACAGTCGTGCTGCCTGGGCCTTACGAGTCCTCAGGCCTGATGGAGTTCTCAGATGCAGAATAGAAGCCCTGAGAGCTTGGTCATGTGTGTTGAGGGTCTCTCCCTGGAGTGCCTGCCCTGTGGGAAGTCAGGGTTCACCATCACAGGACCCTAGTGGGACAGCTGAGGGTTCCGTGGGAACTTGGTGAGGGGAGCAATAGCTCCTTGCCAATCACGATGCCCACTTAGGAGAATCCCGGCCTCACGCCGGCATGCCTTCTGTTCATTCATCCGTCCGTAAGATGTCCCAGTCCTGGAGTTGCTCATGGCCTTACAGCGAGGGGTCCAATCTCTCACCAACTTTGAGAGCACTGCCAGCGGAGGGGGACTTGTGCAGCTGGGGAAGGAGGGGTTGCCAGTACCCACCCTCAGCTTTTCTTGTCAGCAGCCCCAGGGCCTCAGCCTGCATCCCTGCCCTCACATTCCTGCTCCGTCCGTCTTGCCCTCTTCCTCCCCAAGGCTGGCTGTGTCCCAGGGACAACAAGAAAACAAACCTTATAAGCCTAACGAAGTCTTGGGTCAGGACCCTGCTCTGTAGCTCTGACCCCTTCTCTGGAACACCTCTGGACTTGGCTTCGCAGTTTTATTCCTGAAGGCATGGCCCCTCCCCCTCCCAGACCACCCTTCTCCACCAGGGCCAAGCATCCTGGTCAAAGTCCCCTGGAGGCAGTCAGGACAAACCACGGGTACCAGCCCCCACCCATCACATGCATCTCCGTGAGGTCATCCGGCTCCCAGACACCTGTCCCACTGGCCGTCTGCCTCACCCAGGCTGTTTCCTTAGGTGGGTCGTGTTCAGGAGTAAACACTGGCCAGATCAGGATTCACCAGAGAGTGCTCAGTCTGGGGACTTTAATCAGAAAGCGCACTCACGTCCCTGCGTGCACGCACAGGTGTGAGAGAGGTGTCAGAATCCCCAAGACCTGGGGCAGGCATAGTCCTGATGTTAGCAAGGATGATTCTAGCAGTGTGATGTGATGAAAGAGGGCTAGGGGTCAGGGGGCCAGCATGAGCTGCCCAACTGGAATTGAGCAGAAGGTGGGACGCTTATACCCGTGACACACTGGAGATGTCTTCTTGAGAAACATCCCAAGAATCGTATATTTTTGGTAATCTCTGTCGACTCTTTGGGCATGAGACACCTTTAAACCAGTGTTCTCCAAAGTGGGGGGCCCAAGTAGATCCAGGGGGCTGGAGAAAGAACATAGTAGAGCGTGTCTCCATTTTTCATCTTCTCTTTTAAAAGTTCTGTCATACGTGAGTTTTATCATGTACGTGGTATGTTAGCATCGTAGTATATGTGTTAGCTGGTGAATACCTACAAGCACATGAGATGCCTGGTCACTTTCTGTTCTTCCTGATAAGAGGGACTGATAGGGGTACATGATCCAAACAGTTTGGAGATCATGGCTTTAAACCATTACCTGCCTTGTTTATGTTTTAGTTACTGTCCTTTTTCAGTTTGTTCTTTCCCCCATGTGCTGACTTTTATTTTGATTTTATTTATGTTTATGTTTAAGACATCCACACCTTCCTCTGCTAAAACCCTGAAAAATAGGCCTTGCCTTAGCCCTAAACGCCCCACTCCTGGTAGCTCAGACCCTTTGATCAAACCCTCCAGCCCTGCCGTGTGCCCAGAGCCATCTTCCTCTCCTAAACACGTCTCTTCTGTCACACCCCGAACTGGCAGTTCTGGAGCAAAGGAGATGAAAGTCAAGGTAAGGAAACCACCTTTGGAAAGAATCAGGCTTCTCTACTGTGGTTTTCAAATGTGTGCTGTTCTAGCTGCAGGGACCTTTCTTCAGATAAGCTTTTACCTGGAAGCACCGTGTAGAGCAGTTGAAATTCTGGCTGAAGCGGGGGAAAGCGGGCACAGCGCTATTATCCTTCCCCGCTCACCTTAGTCCCTGGTAGCAGCAGCCCCTAAGGCACCGGGGGGCACCTCGGTTTGAAAATCACCTCTCTGTTTGGATTCCTTTGTCCATTCCCAGTTTTGGTAACCGGGAGTGCTTCCAGATTGCCTTGTTTGGGTTGGACAGCATCCCTCTGCAGCCATTCCTGTCCAACCAGTTCACTCCCTCCTGAACCATCTTGTGGTCCTCAGTTACTGTCAGTTTCTATTTTGAGTTTGTGTTGTGTGTCAAGGTCATTGACCAGGTCCCCAGACCCAGTCACCGTCCCGGGTCAGCTGACAGTGCCTGTGCACCTGCGCTCCACCTCTGCCTGGTTTGCTAATTGCCGCTGGAGTTCACTGCTAAGGGCTCTCAGCACACCTGAGGAGTTACTGAACCCTCAGGCTTGTTTGGGAGAGAACAGAAGAATAGGACTGAGCTCTGTTAGCACTCTTGGTCAGGTTCTACAAAGCCTCCAAGTGCCTCTGACACCAACCACTGCCCGTCAGATAAATCCCTGGGGGAGTCAGAATGATGTCTGTCCTCATAGGAAGGGTCTGTAGATGTCCTGCCCCCCCGACACTGGGTGGATAATGAAGCTGATCATCGCTATAAGCTCTGTTGACTTTTTATTAAATACGTGAGCTCAACTTGTGCGGATAACTCATGTAAACAGTTCTTCCAGGAGGAAACAGTAGTCAGGATGCTCGGCATTTGGGAGGGGCCGTGGATTTGTGTGCCCAGCAGACTCTGATGTACAGGCATCTGGTCGGCAAAGGGTCACCCCAATCTTAGCTTTGTTTTGAGTCTAGGGGGTAGAGTGGGGCTGGCATTGACACCAGTGGCAGGAACCTTTCCCAATTGTGAAAACCACTCTCCGGTGCTTTGGTTTACAGGGGGCGGACGGTAAACCTGGAACAAAGATCGCCACATCTCGGGGAGCGGCCCCTTCTGGGCAGAAGGGCCCTGCCAACGCCACCAGGATTCCAGCAAAAACCACGCCCAGCCCGAAGACTCCTCCTGGCTCTGGTAAGAAGGATGTTCTCTGGCATCGGAGCTGGGGAAGAGCTGTCTACAATTAACCTCTTGTAGCTGATCGACGCCTGCACTGAGCACTAATATTCATTTTCTGTCTAATTCTTCTAATTTTCTGAGCTAGATCTTGAATTTTCCACGTTTTATCACTGAAGAAATCAAGGCTCTGAGAGTTTGCACAGCTAAGTCTGACCAGCGTTTTAAACATGAGGAAAATGGCATCACGTGACTCATAAGTGACGAAAAGGGGGCTTTTCTGAGCTTCTCCAACCCCAAGTTCAGGGCCCTGGGGAGGTGTTTTTAGCCACCAAATGAGATGGCATGGCACTGGCTCTCCGGAGATAGCAGCCTGGATAGGTCACTACAGGGACCTCACACAGGGTGCAGCCCCCGCTAACTTACTGGGATGTTAGGGACCTTCTGATAGAACCTGAGGGTCTTCACTGAGCCTGTTGCCCTGGGTTCTTGTGGGTACAACCCAATCAGCTCTGAGTACCAGGCAAGGCTTCAAAGAGCCATTTTAGTTTCCAGTGGGGACAGCCAGGCTGAGCGCCCCTGTCCCCCTGCCCTGGTGACTATCCCAGGCAACTGGATTGAGATTCTGCATGACTCAGGGTGTGTGATCTGCCTTGGCTCCAGGGCAGTGCTCGGGGCCCAGGGAGCTGGTACGGGCCGTGCGTGAGGCCTGGGCTGCTGCCCGGTGTCGCTGTTGCTCCTTGGCCCGGGGTAGCTGCTCACAGCCCTCGTCTGCCGCGTGTCTTTGCCGTGGTGTTTAGCGGCTTGCCGTAGGATGGTGCCTGGAAGGACGGCCGCTCGTTAAGGCCCGCTGGTTGGTTTCCTCCCGTAGTGTTTCTCCTCTTGTATAGAATGTATATGATACAGGAGTAAGCTCTGGGGTCTTCCCTGTGGTCTCCTTGGCCTTGCTTCCTGCCAGACGGGGCCCCTGCTCCCTGAACCCATTCCCTGCCCTGGTCGCCTCTGTAGATGGCCTGGCCGGGCATGGCTGGCGCCTGCAGCATGAAACAGACTCTTAAGTCCTGCTTAAGCTTGACGATAATGAGGCTTTCTGTGGATTTTTCTTTTTAAGCTACCAAGCAAGTGCAGAAAAAACCACCCCCTGCAGGGGCAAAATCTGAGCAAGGTAATTCTGAGTCTGCTTCGCCCAGCGGGGTCAGCCTCTTTGCACACCTTACGTTCTTAGAGCTGGGAGGATCTGCTTCTGAAACGTAGTTTCCCATGCTGAGCCTGAAGTTGGAACAGAATTCCTGCGCCTCTTCTTGTGTGTGGTTTGTGCAGATGTGTCTGTCTGATGGGCCTTTCTAATCCTGTGTGTTCTCACCACCCAGCGCTGTGGGGTGGGGCCAGGGGAGCAGGCACCTCCAGCTGTTTGTGAGTGCTGGAGGTCTGGACTGTCCTTAACCAAGTCAGGTATGAGATCCACACTGGCATTTATTAAACATGCGCCCTGTGGATGATAGTCGCTGCGCTGGGCCCTTCACCTGTTACGGCATCCATTCCCCAAAGCCCAGCACGGTGGGCTCCAGCCCCAGCCCCCGCTTCTTCAGATGAGGACACAGGTTTAGGGAGGTTGAGTGACTTGCCTGAATTCCCTCTGCAGTTCAGTGGCGCAGAAAGGATTTGAGGCCACCACCAAGTCCACTGGCCAGCCTGTGTGCTGGGGGTGAGGGATAGAGGGCCGGCAGGAGGTGGGTGTGCCCAGCCGGGAGGCTTCACCTGTCCTGTTGCCACAGAGCTTGACACCTTGAGAGATTTCCAACGGACACAGATTCAAACCTAAAAACCTCAGGGTTCACTCTCCCCTTGACAAGAGAAGTCACCTCTTTTGTTGCACACAGCTTCCAACAAAGAGCTGCCCTTCGCCAGCTTGGCGCCCGGCAGGTCCCTGTTTGGTACAGATGGTTCCTGGGGCGGGGGCATCACTGGAGGGCCTGAGAGCCCAGGGGCGAAGCTAGACCACCATCCGGGCACAGAATCCAGCCTAGGGGCTCTCAGACTTGAGTCTGCTCAACAATCCTCAAGAGCAAGGGAAGCACCAGTTTTGCAGGCCCCTCCCCTAGAGATTCTGTCCTATCAGGGTTCAAAGGGGCCCGGAAATCCGCATCTTACAGGTCCCACACCCCTGTGGCTGGCAGCTCCGGGGATTCCGACTCAGGAGTGCCTGGGCCACACTTGGTGAAACACGGATCCAAGAGGCAGATGAATAGCAAACTATTCAAGTGTGATGGGGGGTGAGAAGTACAGGAAGAGACGCGTGTTAGGGAGCCCAGAGCTGGGCCTGCTGGAAGAGAGGTGGTCCCAGCAGCCTTCCCAGAGTGCTTGCCCCCGCATTGAGTCTGGAAAGTGTATTGCTCTTTGCTGTGCATGGGCGTGGGGGGAAGGGTGTTCTTGGGGAGGGCAGGGCGGCATGAAGCCCCATGGCTTGTTTGGAGAGCCAGGGACAGATGGACACGAAGCAGCATACCGTTCTGGAGCCCAGGTACCTCAGAGGAGTTGGATGCTGGGTGGGGGTCTGGAGGAAAAGGGGTCTTGAACCTGTTGAACAGCTTAAAGTTCACTCAGTGGTTAAAGAGTCTAATGGATCCAGACAAGGGTGGCCCCTGGCCGGTCATTACATCGTCCTTATTCAGGGAAGAGGCCATGTATCCCTGCCTGGCCTCACTCACTGCAGGCATCTCAATTATTTCCCTTTTCAAGTTGAAGCCCCTGAGCTCAAGAGAGGGGAAGTGACTTGCCTTCCTGCTAGCTGTGAGCCTCTAGCAGGAGCCTCTCCTGACCCCATGGCCTCGGAGCATAGTTGGTCCCCCTCTGGGAAGGGGTACTGGGTGGTCCTTGGCAATCACCCTGTTGCTTCCCTGGGAAGCAGGGTATTGCCGTCCCAAAGCAGCAAGGCTGGGAAGAGGAGACATTTCCTCCATAATGGGATTAAGGGCAGCCTCTTGCTGGTTTGGCCGAGCTTCCAACCTTGTCCCACTAACCTGATCCAGCCCTGAGCCTGGGAATGGACCCCAGGACTGATAGCTCTTCTAGCTCTTCTCCAATTCCCACCCAGCCCGGGTCCTGGCCTCACTCCCTCCTTCCTTTCCAGGTGATTCTGGGAAATCTGGGGACCGCAGTGGCTACAGCAGCCCGGGCTCCCCAGGCACTCCAGGCAGCCGCTCCCGCACCCCATCCCTGCCAACCCCACCCACCCGGGAGCCCAAGAAGGTGGCAGTGGTCCGCACTCCACCCAAGTCGCCATCTGCAGCCAAGAGCCGCCTGCAGGCTGCCCCTGGGCCCATGCCAGACCTGAAGAATGTCAGGTCCAAGATCGGCTCCACCGAAAACCTGAAGCACCAGCCGGGAGGTGGGAAGGTAAGGGCGTGCGGAGGACGCCAGGAGAAGGCGTGTGGGTCCCCACACCTGGGGTGGAGGTGGGCGAGTGCCCTCACCCTCCATAGTACAGTCCCCTCCCCAGCCTCTCCAAGGAGAGACAGTGGGTTGCGGCTCAATTCTTTACTGGGGTCACCACCAGGCCATGAGTGTTCCGCTCAGGGGAGAGAGAGTACCTGGTCGTCCCTCCTGCGCTTTGGACCCTGTGGGTTGGACAGATCAGAGATTACAGGGGTGTAGCTCCACGACCTGGGGGTTCTCGGAGCCGGGCATCCACAGGGGCTCCCCCACTGCCTTGTGTTTAGGACGTGACACAACCAGTCTGTACATGGGCGTGTCTGGCGTTCGTTGGGCATTTGTTTAGGTCCCAGTTCTGGGGAAATTGGTGATTCCATTTGAACAGCTGATTTTCCAGGGGCAAGTTGGTGCTCGTGAGATCTTTGGGTCTTGCAAAGGTGGAGAAAATGAGCTTCCGAGAGCCTGCGGTGGAGGGAAATGGGGACGGCCTGGACCCCATACCTCCTCTCCTTGTCCCATCGTGCGAGTTTCCTAGGGTTGACATACAGAATACCACAGCCTGGGCGGCTTATCCAACAGAAATGTATTTCCTTATGGTTCTGGAGGCCAGAAGTCCGAGGTCAGGGTCTTGTCGGCAGGGTTGGTTTCTTCAGGGGCCTCTGTCCTTGGCTTGCAGATGCCACCTACTCCCCGTGTCCTCATGTGGCCTTTCTCTGGGTGTCACCATGTCCCAACCTCTTCTTCTTATAAGGACACGAGTTGTACTGGATTGGGGCTCAACCTAATGAGCTCATTTTAACTTAATGACCTCTTTAGGACCCCGTTCCAAATACCGTTCCATTCGGAGGTACTGGGAGTTAGGACTTCAGCATATGAATTTGGGGGGCACACAATTCAGCCTGTAACAGCCCTCCCCACCCAGCACCAGGGAGGGGAACGGAGAGGGGAGAAGAGAGTGTGTGGGGACCAGGACCCCACTCTTGAGACCACGGATGTGTTGGGCCTTCCGGGCTGGGCCATTTTCGGGGCAGTGAGCCTCCTGGTGGGCAGGGGGAGCTCTGCAGAACCCTGAGCCAACGTTTCCTTTTCAGTCAGGAACCCCCAGCCGGGACCTCCATACTTCTGATTGTATGAATCACTGTTGGCCGGGGCCTGGGTCACCGCGGAGCGAGGGGGTCCTAAGGGCCTTCTGTCTGCGTCGGCGCCGCACGGGAAACCCTGCACGTTGCTCCCCATGGAGCCTCAGGGCCTCCTGCTGGCCTTTCCCATCCTCGGGGTCCTGCCCAGCGGGGGTGTCTGGGCGCCCCTTGGGGTCTTATTGCCGCTGGTCTTTGGGCCACAGGGCTGGGCCCGGGCCGCGTTTACCTTCCTGCAGTGTTGGCTGTGCTTCATAAAGATGCCTGTCTCCTTCCAGAAGAGGCTCTGGGGCAGCTGGCTGGGGCACTGGCTTGAAGTTGACCCTTCCTTGAGGCTCTGGGGGCAGAGGGACCCCCAGGGAGAGGATTTCCAAGGTGGATGTTTCCCACAGGCATTGGCACCCCTCCCTCAGTGCTGTGGGGGGTCCCAGTGTGCCCTGTTTTCATAGCACAGTTTGCCTCTGTTTTGAAAAATGAAAAGAAAAACCCCACATGGCCAGTTCTGCACCACTGAGGAGACTGTGGGGCTGTGACCAGCATGCTCTTCACAGTGAGAGGGAAGCCATGAGCAGCAGCGTCTCCCAGCCTGCAGGGCTCTGCCACACCCACCATCTCCCCCAGCCCAGGCTGCACCCCTGTCAGCCCTGAGTTCATCGGAGGTTGGCTTGGAGGGGTTGGGCACATTTGGCCTGGTTCTCGTAGCTCTGCCGAGAGCAGCAGGACGGGGCCGAGTGGGGAGGAACCCACCCAGGCTGCCCAGCCCTGGCCATGGGGGGAGAGGAGTCCGGCGGCCGAGGGCAGGTGACTCGGTGCTCAGAGCGGAAAGTGGGAAGGAGCCCCAGGTTCCAGCTGCATCTCGCTGGGCACAGATGTGTGTCCACAGCCACTGAAGGGTTAAAGGAGAAAGGGGACTTTTCTTCGGGCTTTTTGGGGGAGGAGATGTGGGGAAGTGGCAGAGAGGGGAGTAACAGCTTCCCCTTAATTCAATGGAAAACCTGGAGAATTATGTGGATCAAGGAAAACCTGAGCCATAACAACAAAGATCAACACGTTAATCTCCAGGAAAAACGAAGAGAAGAGGAAAAAAGAAGACACCTGGGATCCATGCAGAAGGCCATTTAACATGACTGGACTGAAGATTCCTTGAGGTCCAGGAAATCTTTGGGTCCCTGTGGCCTCTAGACATACAGTCAGTGCTCGATCCGTGTTTATTCGGCTACAAAAGGACAACATAACATGCTAAGAAATCTGAAGAATACCGCAACTCCCTGAATAGCTGACACATCGAAGGAGGAGCAGGAGATGGTCATGTTTGTCAACCTGCAGCCTGAAAACCACAGCAGATCAATCTAAATCATTGGTTGGAAAAAAAAATGTAAACATCTGTTTTCTGCTTTGTTCTTCTCTGTTTTCATGATTTGCTGCAATGAACATGTATTGCTTGAAGAATCCAAAACACAATTACTTTTAAAGGAAAATGCAGATAATCACTTGGCCACTTTAACAGAACCAATTGGATTCACCAAAGATGAGGAGGGAAGGAAGGAGGGACCAGAGTTCAGCAGATCCGCATACCTGCCCCCTCTCTTCTCCTGCGTCTGCAAAAGAGAATCACCTGGGGCAGGGACAGGAGAGGGAGGATACTTTTAAAACTTCTAGGGCCAGAGCCTCCACCAGGCCTGTGAGAATCTTGAGGGAGCCTTCCCAGGGCTCAGGCTGAGACGTCATGTCCCCAAATTCTTACCTACTCGCCTCTGGCCTTAACCACAACTACTGGACCCTCCCATGCACCCTGGATCTGATGACTGGTTTTCCTTTTCTGGTCCTGCCCCTGCTCCTATTTTCAGATTCCATGCCCCTGGCTCCTCCTCAGACAACTCAGACCCAGCCCAGGCCAGCCCCTACGTTCTGCACCCGCTCCCCAAAGGTTTGTCCCAGCCCTGTTCCTTGAGGGGGCGGGAGAGGGGAGTTCAGACACAAGGAACCAGCATTTAAAACACATTAAACACACACATGCGCGTGCGTGCACACACACATTAAAAAAACCAGCAACAACACTGCCCACTGCAGGCGTGAGGGATGTGAAATTGATGTGATTACGTCCTGGTGAGGGTGCAAACCCGCACGCACAGTCTTTTTGGATATAATGAAGGATCGTTCGTAGTTTTCGCAATTTAATTCTGCTAAATCAGTGATCTGCCGAAGGGTCTCGTGTCTCCTTCCTCTGGGCTAGATTGAAGGTCACCTTGAGATCTTTGTGTCCCCGTGTCTTCGCACAGAACCTGATAATACAGTAAGTGCTTATACTCAAACCTGAGGAAAGACCCGAAAATTCAGAAAAAGCTTTAAGCACAAAAATGAGCCTTGAGCTTTATTTATAATCGCAAAACAAGACAATTTAAATCTAACATCAAAGAGGTAATTAATAATGATGCCATACTATAAAACACTAGATAGCCATTAATAATTATCATTGAAAAGGATTTTTCTAATTATAAAAATAATGTGTGTTTACTATTAAGTTAAAAATTAAATTGTATAAATTTGTAGGTTAGGCTTGCTATCTGTATAATAAGCCCGTATAGAAGAAAGATAAATGTAACAAAACACTAATAGTGACTCATAGAGGTTGATTCTGATCAGTTAAAAGATTAAATGATTCTTTTTCTGTATTTTTTCCTTTCTCCTCAAATTTCCTGCAATAAAAACATTTCTAAAAGGGGGGAAAAAAGGATACAAACAATTGTGACTGGAGGTGTTACCAGTAGATAGTAAAGGTAGAAGGACATAGAAAGTCCGTGGAATTGAAGGGGAGTTAATAAATACTAGGAATTAAACTGTAGGGCAAAGGTTTTATCTGTTGTTAAGAGTTCAGATATTATGTCAATAATTTAAACCATAAAGAAAAATACCTACAAATACAGAGAAGTAGAAATTGCACTTATCTGTTCTCTAACCTCAGTGGAGTACACCAGAACTGCACTGTGTGCATGTCAGCCACTTGACCACAAACACTTGAGAATTAAAACTCTTTCTTTGGGAGTGGATGTAACTCAATGGTAGAGCACATGCTTAGCATGCATGAGGTCCTCGGTTCTATCCCCAGTACCCCCACTTAAAAAAAGAAAGAATAAGAACTTTTCCTTGGTCACTGCTCATTAACTTTGGAAATGAAAATTCCTTTTCCAAGGACCTTGGTAACAGATGCCATACATTATGTGGTGATGCCCCCAAATTGTAGTTAAAGGAGCTTTTAATTTTAAATGCTTTTATTACTTAAAATAAATTAAAGACTGCATCATATAACTTATGTTCTTATTGGAGGGAAAAAAGAATATAAGAAATAAGAATACAGAAACAAAGAGCAAAAATAAATTAGAAACACAGCCAGTAAAACAGAACATACAAGCATCAAAAGCTTTATTCGTACACCCAGCATTTCTGGAGCACCCCTGAGCACCAGGCCCTGTGCTGAGAGCTCCTGCCCTGCCGTGCCCACGCCAGGGAAAGAGACATAGGAGAAGATAAAAGGGGCGAGACGGGAGGTTGGCCAGGGAAGGATACGCAGGAGGGAGCAGCCTGCGCCATTGAGAGTCTCCCACAGAGGGTCACCTGGGTTGTGCAGTGGCACCTACAATGTGAATGGTCACCAACAAGTCAGAGAAGACAGGACAGACCCTTGTTTGGGACCACCCTCAGTCTTTGAAAGGACAGCCCCCCCATTCAGCGTGCTGGGGACATAGGCTGAGAAAGAAAAGTGGAAAATTGCACGCAGAGGTATTCAGAGCAAAAGCAAAACAAAGCTAGAACTGACAGCAGCTGGGGTAGTAGAGGGCGTGGGTTAGGCTGGAGGCTCGCTCGTTTCTCATTTATAGGATAACTAAAGAGAGTTAACAGCTGACGGAGGGGAGGTTCCTGCTGAGTCTGCCGTGAACCGGTGGCTGGGGGGTTGCCCTGACGGCAGGACAGGATGGAGAAGAAAGACGGTGGTGGAGGGCACTACCCCCAGAGCCTCAAGGAGGCCGGCAGTTGAATAAGAGGGCTGGTGTGGGCCCAGCCGAGGTTAAGGCAGCGCCAACATCAGCAGCCCCTCTGTGTGGTCAGCGGAGAGCACAGATATCATCCAGAGGGAGAGAGAAAAGCAGCCTTTGGGGCCGAGGCTGCCTGGTCAGGAGAACTGGGAGGATCCCTGTGACTGCCCAGGTGAGAAGGGATGTGCGGGGTCATGACCAGAGTATGGGGTGGGGGTAGGGTGTTGATGGTGGTTAGGTTGGCTTTGAGCAGATGGAGCTCACTTCCTCTGAGGATGTTCAGGCCTGTAGCTGGAAATGTGAAGGCCCCCGGTGGGATAGAAACCTACCAGACCTGCATGTGGGGCTTGAAAAGTTTTGAGCTGCAATATTCCAGGTGGCCAGAAGATGGCGATGGAATGCTGTAAGCATCCGTCTCCATTCCGGAGACCTGAATTATTTTTAAAATTTGTTGTATCTATTGACAAAGTTTCAGGTCTCATCTTTAAAAGTACACGTATAGAACATTTATGTAGGGTAAATAAAGTGAGTCTGTCCCTGGGATAGTTTGCTTGTCGTGGATCAGGGCCAGAGACTCAGCTGAACCTGGGCTGGGGTGTCAGGCCCTGCAGACCCTTCTCTGGGACAGCCATGCAACTCTGAGACCCTTTTTGGCCTCTCTACCTGTACACAGCATCTGTGTTTCTGAAAAATCTTGTGAATCCCATCATTTTATAGAAGCTTGGGGGCAGTCACTGTTAAAAGGAACAGTGTACATAATTCTAAAGGTGACTCCCGTTATTTGATCCCCTGGGTCAGCTCTCAGGCTGACCACCTTGGACTTGTGGGTGTCCAGTGCCCACCCAGGTTAAATTCCCACCACAAGGTCCCAGCCCCCAGTCCTCAGCACTTTTGACCCTAGTGAGGCCAAGCCAGGCCCAGCCAGCCCCAGGCAGTGCTGGAGACAGGCCTCACCAGGGATGGCCTGTGGACACTCGGCCAGTCTGGGAGCTCCTAGGGGGAGGGCTGGGCCACCCAGAGCACTCAAGAGATCTGAGCCCAAACAGAACCAGATCAAGTTCTGATGAGGATTTGGAACCATTTCAGGTCTCCAGGAAACAGATTAAACTTGAGTGTACCCACCCCCAGCCTCACCCCACCCTAGCCTCTCCAGGGTCAAACCCTCACCACGGCATTTCTCCCTTGATAAGGAGTCCCCCAGATCAAAATTGGAAGCTTCCAAACAGTTTTTTTTTTCCTTTGATGGGTATGTTCAGTGTCTGCCCAGAGCTGAGTCTCAATAGCATACATTCATTCCAGCTGAGAAATTAAGTTTCAGGATTCCAGTTTCATCATGCCAACCTTTTTCCTCCTTTCTGTAAACCCGCCATTCTGTAAGGGGTGTTGACTTAATTTGACGACTAACAGTAATTCAGGTATGCTTTGTAAATATCCTTGTGTCTCCTGCCAAATCCCACAAAAGCTTTTTGCTTTTTTTTTGTGGGATTGGAATGAGATATAAGCCACATGGAGAAAACATTTCTGTGTGTGTTGCACATCTTGTTATTGCTTAATGTCTCAAATCATTTGATGAATTTCTTGTAAGGATTAGTACAGAAAACAAGGCTATCCTCCTTGAAAAACTGGTAAGTTTTCTTTGTCGGATTATGTAACCCATTATACTTCCCTTTTTGCCTTGGCTTTCAGGAAGCTCAGAAGTATATGTAATGATCAGTCTTATAATTGTCAGTCAGTCCTGATGACCTCCTCTTCTTTTACTACCATCCTTTACATTTCTTATTTTATTGTTTTGTGTGTTGGTGTGTGTTTTCTAATTCTACACTTCAGTTCTTATGTGAAAGCAGACAAGTCTGCTTCTGGGACTTATCCAGTGGAAAGTGAATAAAAAATGATCCCCAAAGCAGGTGTTCACGTGGGATTCCTTGAAATTTGTGGGTGGGACGAACTGATTCAAAGACATTGTGCGGAGGGTGACAGCAACTCCATAAGAAGCAGGGTGGGAAAACCTGTTCCGCCTCCTCATCCCAGCTCCAGCCCGGGCTGAGGCACTGCAATGTTGTCTCCTTGCTGGCTGGAGAGACTTCAGTGCTCACCAAGATGGAGTATTGTTTTTATTTGGTTTATGAAACAACAGGCTTGAGGACAGCTCAGGAGAAATCTTGTTACATAGATACCCGTGGCTGCAGAAACACCAGGATCTAGGTTCCTGTGTGGTTCTGCCGCTGACTTGAGAAAGTTGCTGAACCTCTCTGGGCCTCAGGTGGCCTCTTCGTCAGGTAGGGGGATGGCAGGTGAGAAGGGTGATGTGGAATTAGGTATTTAACCTCTAAATGAGGGGTGGTGTTTACACTTAAAAACCAGAGGAAGAAATTTACAAAGGGAGAATTTGAGTATGTAAAAATGCCAACATTTGTATATTAGAAAAAACTACACAGTACCAGCAAAAAGGGGGTAAAAGAGTAATTTTAGTCATAATTAAATGCAAAATAAGCTAACAATGCAATCCTATTTATTTTAGTCAAGGAAGTAAGCAAAACAATTTTTTTTAATGTACAGTACTGGCAGCAATATGGTGAAACTGACTTTCTCAACAGTGCTCACGGAATACATTAATCCAACCTTTTTTTTTTTTTAATCCAACCCTTTTAGAAAGCCATTTGAAGAATTGTATTGAGAGTTTTTAGAGTGTTTTATAACTTTGACCCAGAAATAGAATTTCTGGCACTCTATGCAATGAAAATAACACGATATGGGAAAAACTCCTTGCAGAAAGATGTTCACGTGAGGCTGTTTATATTATGTAAAATGGAATTAATACAAATATCTGATAGCACAGATACCACAAAATGGAATATGATTTTTTTTAAATAATGCTTTTGATGACTGTAGAACATGGCAAATGCTTAGGATATGATGTTACTTAGTAAAGCAAGATATGAAATTGTACGTACACAATAATTACTACTATTTATATGTCTATGATGGTATAGCTCAAATGGTAGAACATATGTTTAGCATGCAGAGTCCTGGGTTCAATCCCTAGTCCCACCCCTAAAAATAAATAAGTAAATAAACCTAATTACCTCCCCTCCTAAAAAAAAAAACAAAAACCTGTATGTCTATGATGGTAGTTTTATTTTTATATATATGAGACCTCAAGAGAATACAAGAAAATGCAGTAGTGGTTGTGTTAAGGTAGCCAAAAACTTTTGTTTTTCCTTTTTTGAACCCTTTTCAAATCATAATATGTTACTTTTCTAATGAAAAAAAAACATAGCTTTTTACTTTAAAGGAATATAAAAGAAAACAAAGATTCACACCAGTAAAATTTTTAGATTCAGACCAGTAAAATTAAGGAAAAAACTGAGGATGGGGGTCTAAGAGAAGATGATTATATTTTTATTTTGCCAAGTTAAGGACATCTAAAAATAATAAATATTATCTCCTGTAAATAATTTAATAATTAATAATTTAATAAAGGGAAGACTATTTTAAGACTAAAAAGTAGGATGGACAAATTTTGCTATCATGTCCTCATTTTCTCATTTGGCTGAGGACCTGTGGACCCACTGATGGCCAGCTCTGGTTCCTGGGTGAGAGTTTGGGGCCCTTCTCCCTAGATGAGGCCCTGACCCCCAGCCTCAGCTCTCACCTGGGGCAGCGGCCCTCACCTGGTAGCAACTTGAGGTCTTGGTACAATTTCCAGAATTTCAGAGGACAATGCTGGTTTTTAATTGGGGACTTCAGTTGGCAGTATTTATGTCTGTTATTAATAGAAACTTAAGGCCCTAATGGGAGACATCCAGTGATGAAGATGTTATCAGTGCTCCAGCCAACAAAACGTAGTTTTCTCAACTCGCCTTCTCTGTGCCATGGTTTTCTGTGTATTTCATCGTTTTTAGACAAACTGGGTAAAAATCCTTCCCACCGGAACATTGATAGCCACACACCTCCTTGGTGCCTGGAGTAAGAGGAGCTTTGCAGAAGTACAGTGAGATCACTACTGCCTGGGTCACACCCGTTCAGGAAACCTGGGGGACGTTGCCCAGCTCCCTCTGAGCACCTGGTGGGGTTGCGGGTGGAAGGATGCCTATCAGGAGGCAAAGGCTTCCCACAGATAGGGGTCTGGATTTTTGCCATAAAACCAACTGTGTCTTCCCCTGAAGGCAGTGATTCTTGAACCTCACTGTGCATGTGAACGAAACTCCAGGGGAGCTTTTCAGAAGCACAAAGATGGAAATTCTAATTCTAGGTCAGGGGTGGGGTCTGAGATTTTTTTTAAAAAAATATCCGCAGGTGATTTCAGTGCCTAACAGGCTTGAGTATAAAGGTCATGGTGAATGTTCTGATGGATCTGGCCACAGTTGGAATTTTTTTATTTATTCATTTAATAACATAACTGAGCACATTTGCTCCGTCCCAACCTGGTGGAAACTCACCTCCAGTTTTTAGGGCTGCGAGGGGCCTCTGTAAAGGAAGACCCGCCTCCTGATGGATGTTTTGTAAACCCAGTGCTGTAAGGTGGGGTCCACCTCCAACCACTCCTGGTTCTGGAATGCCATCTGGGGCAGCTCCCCCGGGAGGTGTGACTCAGCCTCCTCGCCCCACCCGCAGCCAGACAGCGGCTGCGAGTGTCTTAGTGCGGGGCAGATGCGTCTGGGTGTGGTGTGTCACTCATCCTTTTTTCTGGCTATCAAAGGTGCAGATAATTAATAAGAAGCTGGATCTTAGCAACGTCCAGTCCAAGTGTGGCTCAAAGGATAATATCAAACACGTGCCAGGAGGCGGCAGTGTGAGTACCGTCACACTTCCCCTGCGCCGCGCTGCGGTTCCGGGTCGGAGAAGTGGCATGAGTGTCTGTACTTGCGAGACATTGCATAGAATAAACCATTCTCAGGCTTACAGTCTATCGGGGTCCCCAAGTGAACGTAGCCCAGGCTGCCCACACCCGTGCCCACCGTTCCAGGAGGGGCGCCCCGGCCCGCGCGGAGAAGATGGTCCTCTCTCCCACCGGTTTCTGGAGGCCGGGTCCTCACAGCGTAAGACCCGTCGTCGCTCCTGCTCACCAGGAGCCCCGCAGCCCGTTTGAGGTTGGGCTGGAGGGGGCAGCACCTGAGACTGGGCTCTGTCGCCGCCCCCTCCATCACCTGGGCAGGTTCACGCTAAGTGCCCCACGGTGGACAGCTGGCCCGCCTCTTCTGAGGAGGGAACACGAAGTCTTTACTGTCCTACCTCTGAGCATGCAGAGGACCGGCTCTGCTCACATGTGTCTTCTGCGTTTGGGAGGGTTGAGCTGACTGCTAAGCCTCTCAGCTTGTTTGAAACCAGCTCCATGACCCGGCAGAGACTACAGATGGGAAAGAGGCCAGCAAAAGTGCACCAGGGATCTGTCTGCAGCCAAGAGTGGACAGAGAAGTGCTGCTTTTAAATTTGGCTTCCTCCAGGTGTTCCATGAGACTTCTGTGTCCCCAAGTGGATGTGTCCCTGGGATTTGGGCCTGGCATCCTCATTCTTGCCGGCCCACGTGATTTACTCTGCGTTATCCGGCCCATTCACCAACAGTGGATGCGAACTCAGTATCCTGAGGCTCAGCCCCCTTCTCTGCACCCCCCAGCCTCTCTTGATCAGCTGTAGGCAGGTGTTTAAACACACTGGGGAACAGGAGGTTTGGACCCTTTGAGGTCCACCCCTAGGAAGGAGGATGGTTTCCCAGTGCAGGCACCTCACTCCTGACTGGCAGTGCCAGGGTGATAGTGGGAGCCCCAGGTGGGCTCTCTCCAGAAAATGCCCAATCTGGGCCTGCGCATCATCTGTGTACAGTCCTGAGGGTTTATTCTTGCAATGTGCTGCTGCCTCCTGCCCTGAGCACCCAGGTCCTGGCTCTGTCACTGATTCCTCCGTGGTCCCTGGGTGTCACGGGCACTCACCGGAGGCTGCTGCATGGCGCTTCATTAACGCTTCCTCACCAGTGTCTGCTCAGTGTCTCCCCCTGTGCCCGCAGTTCCTGCTCTTCTGTCCCACTGCCACCTTGTCTTCGGCCCAGAGAAGGAAAGAGAAGGTATGGGGACCGCCCCATCCCCTGCCAGCGGTGATTGTGGGCTCCGTTGCTGTTTTAGCTTTGACTCCTGGCTCCCTGGCTTCACTGCAGGCGGCAGTCTCTGACCAGAGGAGGAAAGACATGTGCTTTCCGGTTTAACTTGTGTCTGGTCAGCTGGCTAGGGGGTGTGCTGCTGAGGCCAAGGCTGCAGGGTCTAGCAGCCCAGCAGGTGACCGCTCATTCAGGCAGAAGGTGGGGGGAAGGAGTGCATTCCCACTGCAGATGGCAGTGCCCAGGACATCAAGGGACTTCCTCAGGATCACCTCCCGTCCATCCTGCTGTCTCTGCTGGCCTGTGGGCTAGCTGCTGACCCGGCACAGAGCCACAGGATACCCCGTGCTGGCCTCGGGCACTGTCCTTGGCTTGAGGCGGCCACTGCTTGTTTGCAGAGGAGCCTCACAGAAAGCTCTTCTCCTGGTGAAAGGTAGTTGGGGGGTTACGAGCTCCTGCACAGTGTCAGTCCCAGGCATTTGGGGGGCAGTGGACCCCTGGCCTGGGCACTGGCCTCTGCTTGCTCCTCTCCTTTCCCTCCTCAGCATGGAGGTGATTTCCCGGCAGGCAGGCCCTGCCCCTTCTCCATGTCAGGATTCTCCCTGCCTCCTGCCTGGCTCCGGGCTTCACTCCAGGGCCTGGCCTTCTCCTCTCATCCCATCCCTGCCCTGGCTCCCACCCTCACCCATTCCTTTCCCCTCCCTGCCAAACAAGGTTCTCTCTTCTCTGCACCCCCACCCTCCTTCTTGCTCACAAGTTATCCCCTCCAGGACGAAAGGAAGAGAAGGGAGTTATGGTGAGACCTTCATCTCCCTTACTGGGAGTTCCCACAGCCCTGAGCCCCACCCCCTTCAGTGCCCCACCCCAGAGCACACACTCCCCACAACCTGTTCTCAGAATCCGTCATTAACCCCTCACCCTCACAGGTGCCAGCTCC